AGATGGTTCTGTTTCAAAATTACCACTGATATCCTTTATTCTTTTTTGCTGATTCTTTAATTCATGAATTATAGATGGTTCTCTTTCAAACTTATCACTGATATCCTTTATTCCTTTTTGCTGACTCTTTAATTCATGAATTATAGATGGTTCTGTTTCAAAATTACCACTGATATCCTTTATTCTTTTTTGCTGACTCTTTAATTCATGAATTATAGATGGTTCTCTTTCTGAATTACCACTGATATCCTTTATTCCTTTTTGCTGACTCTTTAACTCATGAATTATAGATGGTTCTTTTTCTGTTTCATATATTTTTTCAAACTCTTCTCTATTAAATTTTATGTTTTTAGATTGTAATACATTATGATGAAGTTTTTCTTTATAATTCTTAATAGTTTCAACGTTATTTTGCTTGCTTTGATGCCATAAAGATTCATCTTTCTTTCTAACTTCATATTTATCTATATTACTATAAACAACATATAATTGATACTTTATTTTTATTTGTTATATATACAGCATGTATTAAAATAAAGGTATTAATTTAATTTAAAATTAAAATTAATTTAAAATTAAATTTAATTAAAAAGTAATAATTTAATTTAAAAAATTATACTTAACCTTTTATTTGATGTTTTATCTACAGTCTGAATTTTATCAATTGTATTTAATAAAACTGAAAGAATTTTTTCTTTATCTTGGATGGATGTTGCAGTTAAAGCTTTAGCTGCTTGGGTTAATGCATTTTCTGTGATAAAGAATTTTTTGTTTTATTATATATCTATTTCAAAATAAACTGTCTCTTACCTATTTGCCTATTTCAAAATCTCTTACCTATTTGTCTTTTTTTTCGTGCTGTTGTTGTACTTTGTAAATAATCTATAGTAGTTTTCTGAAAAAAATAATATGGAATAAAAATTACAAATATATATAATATAAATAATATGGAATAAAAATTACAAATACACACACATATATATATTATAAAAAAAAAGTTTTTAAAGTTAAAGGAAATAAAAATATTTACACTACTAACATTAGAAGTTGTAGAATCAGAATCAGAATCAGAAGAATTAGAAGAATCAGATGAAGATGATGAATTAGTTCTTAATATATTAAATGTAATATTTAACCATTGAAGTGGCAATGTAATTTGAGTTTTGATACTCCTAAAAATCAATTATTTAATATTATTATTTTGATGTGTTATGCAATTTACACAGAATTGATAGGTTAACAAAGTTACTAAAATTACAAATGAATACTTACTTCGAAAAAACAAATGTAGCTAACATTATATTATGTATTATTGTGTATTTATATATTATTTTATTTTATTACTAAGTCTATGATAAAATTTAATCAAATTCTAAATTATCATCACAGATTGAGCCTATATAAATTCATTGCTGATCTTACGAATCATATATTTAACATTAAGCTTAATATATATGTTATAATTTTTTAATAAAAAATTGTTTCTAAAATTTTTTTTTTAAATACTAATATTATTGATTTAATAAGCAAGCAAATAGTATAAATACATGATTATGCGCTATACTCATAGAAATATATGTGATACATTTTAAGTCCAATTTTCAATTTTTCGCAATTCAAAAATTGTATTCAAAGTTAATACAGTTATATGTATATATACACATACATAAATATACATTTCTAAAAATATTTCTTTTTAAACTAAAGAAAGATAATCTTTTATTTAAATTAATTTTGATTTACAAAATAGAAAATATTTTTGTAAAAGAAAAATATTTTTAACATCTTAATATTATGTTCTATATGTTTTTGATTTTTACAAAAAAAAAATAGTTTATTTTATAGATTTGTAATTTATGAAGCTAGTTTATTGCATACATATAACAATGTAATATATCTTTTATTTCTTTTTTAAAACTGTAAGACAAAATATGATATTAAACATTTGTAAAATTCTGTACCTTTTAATGGGATCCAATAACTTGAAACTGCAAATTTAAGATACAATTATAATTTATAAATTTACATTTACAAGGCTCTTATAGTATAATTTTAATATTAAAATAAACTTACAAAATAATGCTCAAATTTAAATGGGTTGTAATAAAACCTAACACCGCCAATCTTGTAATAAAACTTAAAACATAAAATTAAAATTTCAAAACAATGGAAAAATTTAAAATTTATGCATTATTATACAGCAAACGAATTATAATCTGACAAGAAGTGTACAAATCATTATTCTTCTTGACAGTCACAAAATTAAAAAAAATGATTGATTGGCAAAGCAACTAAATTAATAATATACGTGCCATTAAAAAATTTAAGTTCCGTATGCGTAATTACAAGGCGCGTTTTTTATCGTATTAGTTTCTAAATAATTAATTAACTTATGCTTAATATCTAACTTGTTACTGTGATTGGGAAAATAAGTCAATTTAATGAAAAGTACAGCAATAAATTACGTAAGTGAATAAATATATATCAAAATATATGGTCAATATGAAACAGGTCCATTCATACTGTAGTAGATAGAATTTCCTTCGTTGGACACATATAACTTTGGCTCTTTTTGCATGCCAGGGTAATAAAAAATATCAAATGTGTAAATATGATATCAATCAAGACGAAGATAAATGGAGCATTATGTTTGGATCTTCTAACGCTGATAATGGTAATTCACTTTTTTCTTCTTCAATACGGGCATCTGAGACTTTTAGGAACTTAATCACCTTCTCAGTAGCAGCAATTCCACAGCTGCTTACTTCATTCTAAAATAAATTATTCATATATTCAAATTTTTTGATAATTTTTTGTAAATAAAAAACAAAGTTAAAAATAATTACCGACGCCGTTAAATTCATGAAATTGAAGAATTTTTGAAGTACAGACACCATAGTAGTAAAATTATTATCTGGAAGTCTACTACGTACCAACAATTCATAATCCTAAAAACGTATATATTACATTATCTTCTTCTATAGTATTACTATTGTCTTAAAAATTAAAACTACCTTATTATCCATTATTAAGTAACCAAGTAGAAGCACTACATATGCTCCTATTAAAGTATGTTCCATATGACGTCCTGCTTTTTGTAATACTAAAAAGAAATTTCTAAAATTATATTTTATAAAATTTATAATACTTTAAAAAAGAACTATACAAACATTTTGTGACAGTTTCTTCAATGAATTCTTCTTGAGATTTTGTTGTTGTTGATACAGTCTCTGTTTGCTCAGAATCTTTTTTACCATCTAAAATAGCATCGGTTTTTTGTTCTTCAGCACGAGCCAATTCTTCTTGTTTATAAAATAGATCAATTAAACATTCTACTCCACTTTCTTCTGCTATTTTGTAGAAAAAGAATATATTAGATTTACATTATTGTGAAAAGAATATAATATGCAAAGTACTCACTGTCAAAAATATTTTCTGTTGATGGCGGTGTTTTAGATTCAATAAGCAGTTGTTTATTATCATCACATTGTTCTACTAAATTTATCAATAAAATCAAAGCTAACATCATCATATCAAAACGTTTTTCTTCAGGAAGTGATTCGGGAACGCGCAATAAAAGATACAAACTACAATCTAGAACACCTGGTTGAGAGCCTAGTGATTTACTTCCGAAAGCTAAAATAATTATAAAACATTACATTATACACTTGAAAAAATTAAAATCTTTTCAAGAATAAAGTATGAGATAAAATCGTACATTGTCTATTAAATCGATGTGTAAGATTAATAAGAACTTTAATGATAGCAAATAAGCATTCTCTAATAACAGCACCAGTGGAAGTTTTATCGCTTGGATCTATAGTAGGATATATAGGAATTTCTTGTCCACAAAGATAATATAAATTTGCTAAAGTGCTGACTAAAATTCCATTCTCATATTTTAATAAATATACTTGATTTTCTTCATTCATATGAGTAACCTGAAACAATTTCAATAAAAAAAAATGTATATTATTATAAACTTTAAGTATTAAAGTATTAAAATATTTAAGTATTTAAGTATTAAATATTATATATCATTATATAAAAACACATATCTCACATTTTCTAATACACGTAAACATCTATCAACTTTACGTAATTTGTCTAATAATGGATCTGTCCAGCCAGATTTCGTAATATTTTGGGTATTAATATGACGATGGCAATCTCTAATTGTTTTTACAATATGTTCTAAACCTCCCAATTCTCTAAGCTCTTCTTTAAACCATTCACCAGCACGTTTTGATGTAAGGCTAAGAAGTGTCTCCATAGCAAGTTGACCAACCTAGAAATAATTTGTTACGTATTTACATTTACTTATTTTCTATTTATTTTGCGATAATTATGAAAAATAATACTTACAGTTATATTATCAAGATTTAAATGTTTTGCATGTCCTTGAGCTTGAATATCAGCACATAACTGACGTACTTTTTCTTTATTTTTTAGAAGTTCTGCCCGACTAAGGCCACAATCATCAAGTGCATCTTTGTGACTGGCATCAGATTCTAACAAACTTAACATTAATTCTAAACAATCGCGATCTAAATCCATAGCTAAACGATCTTGACTTAATACAAACATTACTGTTGCTGTACATAGAGCAAGACTCTACAAAATACATAATCATTTAAATAGTTATTAAAAATAAAATTTATATACATTACATTGTGTAAAAATAAAATTTTATACCTGATCCTTCGTTGCATCATGAAGAGCTTTGAAGAATTTAGCAACAGTACCATGAGCACGTACATGCATACGAAATGCAGGTGCCATACATTTGCTTGCCAATCTTATAGCTGAAAGGCAACGAGTAGCATTTGGATTATTTTCTCTTAAAGTGTCTAATATATATTCAACATCATCATTAAACTCTTGAAATTCTCCACTTTCCTGAATTTGATGAGCTTTCTTCACATTTTTTACTACAGTATAGAACTAAAAAAATAAGTATTATTTAATATCAAATTTGTAATAAAATCAATACATCACAATATATAAAATTTACAATATACATACTCCTTTTATTTTCCTACCACAACGAACGCTAGTTATGGCATCAGATTCATCTTCAAAACCTGTATCAGCTTCAGGATATGTTACAACTCTTGTTAATTGTGATGGATCAAATTCTTCTTCATAAACTACAGGATCTGTGCCACTATGAGATCCTGAAGCAATAGTAGGTGTACTATTTCCAACGTTAGAAGTATCTGTAGTACCAGATTCTTTATCACTATCACACCACTTGTGTTTATACAATGCTCTTCTTTTATTTCCATTTGTTGCACCTGTTGAGCGACTTTTAAAAATACTACCTTTTTTAGTAGCAGGTTTTTGTATAGTTGTACATGGAGTATTTAATGGTTGTGATTCTGTGACTGTACTAGTTACATGTAATGCTATATCAGTTTCTGTATTACCACTCACACCCTCACTGTCATCGCTCCCAGAAAACCAATCTTGATCAACTAAGGTTTTAGCTGTAGCTGTATCATTATCAATAATACGTGCAGTTTGCTCTATTTCTACTTCAGGATCAGGTTCTGGACCTGGATCTGGTTCAGCTTCTGGTTCTGTTTCTGTTCCTGATCCTAGTGTTGGTTCTAGTCCTGGTCCTGATTCTGGTTCTGTTTCTGGTTCTGGTACTGGTTCTGACTTTGGTTCATGTCGCAAAGCAGATCCAGAAACTACTTCATTTGTTGGAATATCTATAGAACAATGTTGAACTTCACCTGGAACGACTTCTGTATTTTCTTCAGTCTCTGAAGTATTTATTATCATCGGTCTTGTTTGCATAGGATCAGAATCACTTGACAATATATCAATTAATTCTTGAGTTGTAGTTGGCAGTGGTTGATCACGCCCAATTAATGGTTCAATTGCTGGCTTACAAGAGTATGTAGAACCACAATCAGTCTTAACAATATCGTAATGAGATATCAATGTATTGTTGGAATCAGTAACAGATTTTCTAAGGGTTAAAGAAAGACCAGAACTGTGTGAATTAGGGGTTACTGGTGCTGTGGATACAATAGAAGATGTTGTTAAATCTAATTGTAGATTTTTTGTTCGACTACGAGTAGTTCTGCGCATTTCTGAATTTTCTAAAGGTATTGATACAGTGGAGATAATAGGTTCTTGAGAACGAACTGCTTTATGATCAGATTTAATATTCATATCTACATTAAAGTTTTTACGTTCCATATCTATTTTTGTGGGACTGATAAGAGGTGTAGAAATTCTATATGTTTCAGATTCTGACTGTTGAGTGTTCTGCATACTTCCATAGACTAGTCGTGCTGTACCTTTACATATTCTCAATACAATAGGGGGCTTCCCTTCTTCTCTAATAGGAGGATCACTATTGGTTCCTTCTAAAGCATCTGCTATTTTTTTAGTTGGAGCATTTGGTACTTTTGTTAAAGATTGTTTTGGTTGTGGTGGTAGTGATGGTTGTGAAGAGATTTTTTGAGCACGGGCTTTGCCATAATGTGAATCAGGTACTTGTCTGTATATTGCCACATCTTGGCGAGATTCTTCTACTGAAGGTGGAACATTTCTACTTTTAAAAAATTTCTTAGGTTTAACAACTGGTGGTGCAACATCTGATTTATTGTCAGGATCAGTTTCAAAGGAAAATGGATCTTTTCCAGAATTTACACGAGCATTCTGATTCCCGTAATCAAGTTTTATTCTTTTTGCACCAAAAGTATTATGAATATCATCTCTTCTTCCTGCAAACAAACTGACATTGATATAATTTCCTAAAAAATTTGTTTTTATTTGTAAAATTACCATCCACATAGATATTGAAATTAATAAATAATCTACTAGTAAATTTATTTTTTAAATAAAATCATATTTAAAATAAAATATGCGAAGCATATAAAATAAAGCGATATCCTATAATAAACAATTTTTTCAATATTCTTTTTGTTAAAAACTAAGTACGTATCAATTACTTATAAATACATATGCAAGACAAAATATATAATTTTTTATATGATAAAGAAAATACATACCATTGATATTTGTACTTCTTATAGATGTAAAAGATGTTATACCCCATTTTCCAACAGTGCCTGCTGATTTAGCAGCAGAAGGTCGATTGCTATTTTCCCTAAAAAGCTTATCAAATTGAATACTTCCAGGTGTCATACTACTGACCTTGCGGCTGTAAGATTTTGTGTAACTACGGGACGTCATACTGTATCCTTCAGTATTTCAAAAGTATTCCACATCTCAAAAGACACAAATAATATTTCTCTTCATTTTTTAAATTGAAGCATGTAGGAAATAAGCATTGATTGTTTGCACACTTACGGAGAAGTGTTACAAGAAAAAGAATCTCAGTTCATTGGAATTATTATTCGCATCGATAATTAAGAACTTGAAAGAAAAAATCAAGAAGCAGTATCTTCGGAACATATGAAAGAAACAAACGCCATGTTTCATTTGCTATTTACCCCGATGCACAAATATATGAAACTGTAACTTCAAATTCAATTTATGCTTCGATACATTGTCCTTATGTTAATTATCCTCAATCCTATATTTTTGCACTTAGCTTTAATTATTATAATTTTTATATGTCTACATAAGTCCAACTAGAAATATTAATCATAACATGATCTTGAGCCATCTGTCGATGTTTTTCGTTTCAAGATTTAGATACATACCATACACAAAAAAAATGAGTAATACAATACACAAGATTGTAATACTTGTCGTCCTATCCAGTAGGTAGAGCTCAAGAGCTGTCTTTTACCTTTTATCTACCTTACCGGTAGAAAATTGTCCAATCAAAATTTGTTCTACATAATAAATGAAGTTATCCTTTATGTAACTTTCAAGCGTAAGAATCTCTAAAGTTTTAGAGATTATTAGAAAAAATTATTAGATTATATTATAGATACATCAACACATATGTATACATATATACATAAGACACATATGTATATATATATATATAGATATGTATAATATATTACATGATTTTGTTATTTTTTCATTTTTCACATTTATTTTATTTTGAAATATTTTACTCTCTTTTTAAAATTTTTTTATAATTTATTATTAATAATAAGATATAAATTATTATTTCATTAAAAAATGATTTTTATAAAATAAATATAAGTACATAATATACAAATTATGATATTTATAATTATAAAACATATTTATTTATTTTCTAATCACAAAACAAAATTTGTTTAATTTTGTATAGTTTTCAATGAGTCAGATATTATATAGGGACATTTTTTTAGAGACGAAAATACTATTACAATTCAATTATACAAGAGCCAATAAAAACCATATTGAAGAAACTTACTACATAGCAGTGATACCTTGCCAAATAATGTTCGCAACTGTCAAGTTTTACACATATCTATTACATATTTGATAATGTTTGTTACTTTAAAAATCACATATAATTCTACATTACTTCTACATTGGTTTTATACGTATCAAATGAAATTAAACACTTTTTCTATTCAAGATTAAAAAAATATACACAAAATTTTAGTTTCTCTCCTTTTTAATTTTTAAAAGACATCAAACCATAAAATAATCTATGAATTTAGGCGTGTTTAACAGAGTTAATCTTAAGGTAATAATGTTATATTTTTTTGTATTATTACAATATTTTAATTGTTATATTCATTTAGGATACCCAAGGAGGAATGTATTCCGAATGGGCTTCTCTAAGTGTTTTAATTCAACAAGGCTCAGAAGAGAGTCAAAGTGTCCTAGAAAAATTTTCTCCTGGAGCAGGAAAAGAAGTTGCTTTATCTATTGTACGTCAACTGGCTGCAAATCTTGGCATTACTCAAGCAGCTGAGCCTAGTCCATTGTGTACAGATAAAGAAGTACAATGGTGTATGGAAGTAATATGTTTTGGATTATCATTACCTTTGGCTGAACATGATACTGTTAGAGATTGTGTTAATGTATATTGCGAGTGGTTATCCGCATTATATTCTACACCAAAGATATGTGTACCTAAACCAATTATAGATGATCCTAATTTCTACGCTAGAAAAATAATCAGTCATTTCCATAATCTATTTGTTCCACGAAAAGGAGAAGGTAAAATAAATCACTTATGTCTTTTCTATCTTTTTTCAATTTTTTATATAAAGTTTTTATAAGGCATGAATAATTAACTTTGTAATGGTATGAATAATTAACTTTAAGAGAATTTAATATTGATTAAATGTTTATTATAATGTTTATTATTCGTCTAATAGTTTATTATTATTTTTTATTTCATAGTCTGGCCATTTTTATATCAGGATTTAGGTAATTTTGTAATTAAAATAATTATATTACACAAAGAATATTGCATAAAGGAATAACATTTTAATGACAATTATAAATACTTAATGTTTGTGAAATGTTAAATATTATTTACAGGAACAGATACAATTAATCGGCAAGCTGTTTTATGTCATAGAGTGCTTAGAACATTGCAACAAATTGCAAGAGGGCCTGCTACTTTAGATAGAGAAACTTGGGAAAGCTTATTATTGTTTCTTATTGGTATTAATGATGCACTTTTAGCTCCTCCAGCAACAAGAGAAGATGCTGGAGAACAGTTATGTGAAAGAGTTCTAGGTGTATTGTTAGAGGTATCATGATTTTGTAAAAAAAAATATTGAATGAGTTGTCCAATTAATAATTATATATAAAAATACTTTTAGGTATGGTTAGTAGCATGTGAACGTAATTTTCCATCACCACCATTATGGCGTACATTGAGAGAATCATGTCTTCGTTGGCGACACAGATTAGCATTGGTAGAACAATGGAATCGTGTTTGCCTTGCTCTTACAGCAAGACTCTTACAAATTATGTATGGTCCAATGTTTCCAGAGTTAAAAATAAGTTAGTTATATGCATAACTATATTGTTTTTCATATAAATAATTTATATCGTTATTATATATATAAATAACATGTTATAGACGAAGAAGATTCTCAACTAGTACCACCTACAATGTCAGATGAAGCAGTAGCCCAAGCATGGTATAGATTGTTACGAACTATAGGTGACCCTGTTGATCTATGCAGACCTGCTGTTATTTCACAGACACAGGCATTCTTACAGTATGCTATTGCTAGTCCAAATGTAATAGATCCATGTCAACATCCATGTTTACAGAGTTTACCACAAATATTTTTAAAAGCTATTAAAGGTATAGCTGGACAAGTTGATGCTTTCCTTGGTAAGTTGAATTGTATAGAATTGAATTGTATAGAATTTTGTAATATTCAACTATAACTGATATCACACTATTTTGGGGATCATATACATGCAAGTTATAAATTGTACATTTTACAAAGATTAAGATGATCTATCTTAGTACTTCTCCTATTTACTTTGAAATACCTATAATAGGATATGGAGTTTCCTACTTGCTTTGTTGGTGATGGTTGCACGCAGTCACAAATGTTTTAGGAGTTTCACAGGCATGTTGCTGGGAAGAATGTTGTGTATCTACCATCACATGTGGATCTGTTAGCACTGGAAGTGGAGGTGTAGGATGGGATAAATCAAGTAATAAGGATATGACACAACCTTCTCCTACACCTCCAACACAACGCAGACTTGCCAAAAGTTTCAGTGTAACACCTTCTGCAGTGACTAAGGGTACTGAGCACTTATCTTTCGGTGTTTCATGATTGTCTTTTCTAAAATTGTATATATTTTTGTTAAATATTTCTTTAAACTCTTTCTTTTAGAAAAACATTATATTCTAATATCAAACTGTTAGAAAGATGCATTAAATTATCATTTATAACTTTCTATTATAGGAATTCCGAAAGCTTCCTTGATTGGCTTAACAACAAGTCGTGTGTCGAGTACACCATCTACATTAATATCTAATTCAGGACCATCGTCAGCCTCAAGTACAACATGTAAGATTTTATAATATAAATTTTTATAATATAATTTTACATATGTATTACAAGATTCTTACATTTATAGCTATGGCTTCATTAGTCCAGGATACTAGACCTCCTTTAGCTCCAGGGCGACCAAAATGCAATAGTATATTACATCTTTTTGGTGAATGGTTATTTGAAGCTGCATTCATAGGCACTGATGGATGGTCACAAAATTTACCACGTAAGTATTACTTGATATAATTACTTGATTAAGTAATACAGACATTAATATTTTTAATACATAGAACCATCAGGTGCATCGAAACGTCCATCCTCTGTTCTCGTTGAAGGCCCTAGTTCTTTGCAAGAAGCTGTTAATGATGTTCCACCAACTCTTTGTATAGATCGTTATGAATCTGGGAGAGCAGAAGCATTGGGAGCACTATGTCGAATATTTTGTGCAAAAAAAACTGGAGAAGAAATTTTACCTGTTTATCTAGCGAGATTTTATCAAGCAATGAATCATGGTCTTAAAGTTGATGAAGTAATAAATTATTTTCGTTATAATTTTACAAGTACAATATTTGTAAAAAAATATATAATACATATTTAAATGCTTATAGTCCCGAGAATGTGGTGAAACATTAGCAAGTATTCTTTTGAATTCTGCCGATTTATTTCGTCTAGATTTAAATGGTGTACAAGTATTAGTGCCTGCAGTAATATCGGCTTTAGAAACTGTACTTCCAGAAAAAGATCTAAAACTCAAATCTAATGTTGTATCAAAACCAGATTTACGAAGAGCTTCAATACATCTGTTAATATCAATACTAGCATTACCTCTACACTTTCAAGTAATTAATATGTATAAATATTAAATGTATAAATATCTATTAAAATAATACAATCGTTAATAATTTCATACAATTTATATAATTTTTATTTTACAGAATCTTACTATCAAGGAACTTCCAACATTTATAAGTCCAATAATTACTGAGAAAAATCATGTAACATTTGCACAGCTAAAATCAAGACTTATGAACTTGCTTATAAATGCACTACAAGTTGAAACTGACTCTCAGAATACTCATATGTTGTTAGGTAAAATATATTTAATGTACTGTAGTTAACTTCTTTTTTTTTTATAACTTTTTTAAATTCTTTTGTAGGTGCTCTTTTACTAAGTGTACAAGATTCTGCAGCAGCAGAAGAAGTTGAACAAGTTACACAACCTGACACTGTAGCACACGATTCTGCTGTAAATCTATTATCATCAGGTTTGTTATTTTGCATATTGCTTAAATGATATTAAGTTATATTCATACATGCACTTTTAAAATTTTTTTAAAGATCTATTCTAATATTAAAATTTGGAAGGTAATTACAAATTACATTTTTTCTAGTAATATAGTAACGAATTTCATTATTCAAGATAGCAACTTATTAACATTTACCAGTTGCTTGTAAATTAAAATTGAATTTTGTATATGCAGTGTAAAATCATGATGCTTAACATTACTTTTTATTGTATTCGCTTTATGCGTGCTTCTGTAAGATGTCATTCATTTTTATTATTATATGTTATGTTTCGTTACGCATTCATCATTGTACTGTTTCATCATTGCTTAATAGTCACCAGCGATTCTGCCAGTCAAATAAGTATATCCAGTGATCAGCGCTCGCTCGGTGATACCTCTGATATTACAACTCTTCAAGAGGAATGTATTGCATTTGGTAAATACAAGTATTTTTTATATTAGTTTTGCATTTAATTATTGTGCATACAAGAAATGTGAAATGTCATCTATTTTTATTTTTATGTTTTGTGTTATACATTGAAGCTTTCTTTGAATATTAGGCAAAAGCTTGCATTTCAAAAATTTTTTAATACAGTGGGTGCATTCGTATATTCAATGAAAAATTGTCGATATTTTAAACTGCTATAACTTCGTAAAAAAAAATCGTACATTTATTTTCACATTTTAAAATGAAAACTCTCTACTTTTTATAATATTAAATATATTTCTTTTTAAAATATTTTTACACCATTTTGGAAGGAATAAATAAAGATAATTTTCTCTCTCAAATTCAAACATCAACATGAAAATATGAAAAATTGTTTCATAACTAAATTCACTATAGTCTTGAAAATTGTCTTTCTTTTATAATAATCTTTTAAAATTTATTTTTAAGATTTTTTTACAAAGTTATAAAAGTTTAAAGTATTCACAATTTTTCGCTGAGTGTACGAATATTTTCTACATTCATTGTATATACACATTACAATTTGAAAACCAGTTCATTTTTTATAGTTAAATATACGAATTATTGTTACAGATTCAGCTCATGCTCTTTTTGTAAGAGCAACATATTTAGTTTGTCACAGATTAATATCATCATGGAAGGCAGATTTAAATATTTCTTTAGCAGCTCTTGAAATATTATCAGGATTAGCAAGAACACGCATTCGTGAAACAGGTAAATAATATTTATCAAAATGCTATTTTTTTTATTTGAGAAATATCTCAATTCATATAAGTTTAAATATTTTACACGCAGCAAGGAAATTAACAGGTGAATTATATTTTATAGTATAATTTACAGTATAATTTATAGTTTAATACAAAATTCCAATTTTTAATTATTACAGATGCTTTAGAATGTAAACGAGCTGTGAAGTGGCTTTGTGATTATATTGCATATCAATGTTGGCGTCCACCACCAGCTCATTCAAAAGATCTTCATTCTTCTATTGTTGCTGCATTTAGTTGTTTAAGAACTTGGTTAACTGCTCATTCACAACTGTTACAAGTTATTATTTTATTTATATTTAAGTAAAATATATATTAATGTAATATATATTGAATTTATACTCAGAACCATTCTTTTAGGATAAGGATTGCTTAACAACAGTTCTAGAAGTAGTTGAACTTGGTGTATCAGGAACAAAAAGTGTAGGAAAACCTGGTGAACCTATTAAAATGAAAGATGAAAAAGAATTAAAACCAGCATCTATGCGTGTTAGAGATGCTGCAGATGCGCTTCTTACTGTCATTTTAGAACAAGTATATTAAACATGATTGACAAATTTATAAAGGTGTTTCAAATATATTACCTTTACAGGTTGGTTATTTCCCTAGTGCATGTGGAGCACAATCATTGTCATCTTTACTGGATGAAGTATCACTTCTTCGACATTGCAACAGTTGGACTGGTGGTCGAGTTCCACGTCAAGCTGCAGTTGAAAGATTTCGATATTTTGTCGCTGAAAATGCTACTATATTAGCTTTATTAGAAGAACCTCTTGGAAATGATCAGGATCCACAACCCACTGTAACTGTTTTAATACGTGGACCATTTGGAAGACATGCTTGGACGATGCAACTTCGACATTTACCAAGGCATAGATCTAGTATAAGGAGTGTAAATACAAATCCAGGTCGACCATTGCCATTAGCAGAAGCTGCTCCTCGAACAGATTACAAACCTAAATTTTTTCCCGATAATGTAGATCGAATTCCGCATTGTAAAGTGTATGTTAAATTTTATCAACATATTTTTATATAATTTAAAATATTTAAGTACAAAATTTTATAAAAATATCCAAATTTTATTTAGGGATGAATCTATTCCAAGTCTGGAGGCAGTTATGAATGATAACGACATAGTCAGAAATGAACATCAAATTTTGTCACAATTGTTAGAACGTCAAATAAATATTGAAACAAAATATTGCGACGGAAATGATAAAGTTTCAGAGGAAAAAACAGAAGAATGTGTACCACCTCACATTTGTCATGAATTTCAAACTGCACGTCTGTTTTTAAGTCATTTTGGTTTTTTGAATATGGAACCTAAAGAGAACAATGAATCTAGAAACAATGGCCTTACTGCTTTAGACCCAACTATTCCAGGATTTTGTTTAGACTTAGAAACTCTAGATAATATCAGTCCGAGAACATGTGATACTGTATATATTTTTTATGTAAAAGCTGGTCAAAAAATTTCTACAGAGATATTATCTAATGTGGTAATTATTCCTTTTTTATTAAAATACTTTATCGTTGTACATTGCATTTATATAAAGTAATTCTATATTTATAGTTACACGAATCGAATATATCGCCGAATTTCTTAGAATTTTTAAATTCTCTTGGTTGGCCAGTTTCTGTATCAGCACATGCTGGTTGGACTGGACATATTTCCACTTCGTGGAGAGTAACACCACAATTGAATGTACCGCAGCCAGCTCATAGTGATCATGGTGGAGCTCTTTATAACGGTGATACTCACGTACTTTATTGGGCAGATGTTAGCTCAGAAATTGCTTTTGTTGTACCCACTCAGTTAAACAATATTGTAAATTCAGAATCATTAGAAGAAACAAGTTATAGTAGTGACATTAGTTCTAATCAAGGTACAGTTTAATACAAATGACAATATAAAAAATATAATTTTACATTATGTGCAGGAATTATACAATACTTAATAATTGTAGTTTGGTTTGAAAGAAGTATTAGTGAAAGTACTTCTCCCCGAAATAGTGGGACAGGACAGAATGCAATGCAAAACTCACGGACGATGTCACTTGATTTAGAAAAACAACCGCCTAGTTTAACAGGATCTAATTCTTGTACCTCTTCCAGTGGAGATTTCGTTAAACCAAGAAAAACAACTAAACAAGTTTTACCTGTACAAACTGACATCAAAATTATGGTCGTTTGGCTAGAAAGTTTAGAAGATTTTGCTCAATTTCCAATTAGTACTATCATTCAAATAAAGATATTTATTTATTTCAATTAAATAATGGAAATTTTATAATTGCATTTTTATGTGCAGGTGATCTTCTTCCTTGTACTTATAGTGGACTTGAACAATCAAGAGCAATCCAAGTATCAGATGTACAAGTAATTTTTCTTCAAGCTCTCAGTAGTGGATTAATGAGAATTAGATTACAAGGTCCAGTTTCTAGAATTAATTTAGCTACTCCATTAATTGATGGAATGGTTGTATCTAGAAGAGTACTAGGAACACTTGTTAGACAAACAGCATTAAACATGGGACGTAGAAAAAGGCTTGATAATGATAGGTACATAAAATTATAACTATAGTTTAATTATATTATGTTTAATATTTATATTTTACAGTTATCATCCACCACATGTACGTAGACGTTTGAAAATTCAAGAAATGGTGCAGAAGTATAAGAAGCATTTAACTGAACCAGAGCTACTAACACTTTTATTTAGTAGTACTCAAACTTATTAAATTTAATAAAATTAATGTAAATTAAATAAAATTGACATTAAATTAGACATATAATATAAAGATTATTTCTGAATAATAAATAAATATGTTAACATAGAATGATATATTTAACTTTTCCGTTTTTTAATATAAGTAAAATTCCGCATTTAATATAAATAAAATATAATTATAATATATTTTTTATTTATATATGTAATAAAATATAATACATTTTTAAAATTAATACTTGTAAGATGGATATGTAAATATATCATTGACAATTGTCCTTTTATGCAAATTATCATTTTTCAACTTAAAGAGTATATTCTTTTATTTTTGATTTTGTATCAAAATAAATATATAGATATACAACATAATAATGCTATATTATCCAATACTTAATTTGCAAATGTGCATTGTTCTATTTCTTTATTTAGTTATGAATTCCCACAATTGATCAAATAGCACATTTATGTTTTTGGCATGAAAAAGATATTATCTGATTTGTACAATAATATTAATTCAATAATTATGAGATAAAATATATTTATTAACTCTTTGCACTCCAAACTATTTCTCAATTATTTTTTTTTCTTTTTTTTTTATCTTTTCTCTTTTTTATCTGTCTTACTTTTTTTATTTATATTAAATTATTTATAAATGTCTTTCAATTAATCTTAACAATACTATTTATTTATAAATATCTTTCGATTGATATTAATAATTATAATACAATAATAACATTAAAATCAAATGCAATATTGCAAATTTTAAAAAAATAAATTATTACAAAATTGTCCTGAGTATATAAAAAATATAATTGTATCGTATTTTGAAATATTGAATTTGAACAAAAATAGATATAACTAATAAATAGCAATCTTTATTACATACATCTAAGAGAAGTATATGTACTTACACTTTTATCTTTTATATCAATACGCTAAATTTAGCTGCGTCATTCTGACTGTGCACATCATAATCATACATTGTACAATTTGATGTGATGTTACGAAATATACAAGTCATAGTAACGTTTGATGCAGTTAACTACAATTGACTACAATTTAAGTTAAAAATTTTATAATTATATATGATCAATTATTATCTTAATATTTACATTTATAATACATTGTTAAATATTGATACAAATCATTTTCGAAAACATATAGGTTACGTAAATTCAAAAGAGTTGTGCCGATTTTTCCGTATTCGTATTCAGTTGTCCTTTTAAGGTTTAAGTGAATATAAATTGTGAATATGAATTGTTAATCTTTAAATCACAATTAAAAAATTGTGAATCAATATATATATATAGTTAGTAAACTAAAAACTAGACTATTTATTAGACTAAAGAATATGGCAATGAAAATGATTACATCATGACAATTTAGATAAATGAGCGTGAAAATACGCAATACATATTTTCAATTCCAAAAAGGAACAAAAATACATAATAATGTACATGATAAGAAAGAATTATTATGAAAATAAAAAACTAAATATACAATAAAAGTTACAGTTACATCATATTTTAAACATATTATTTTCTTAATAACATGTATGCCGTTTACGATTAGATTTTAGAGGTTTCTCTTATTTTGTCAAATTTTTCATTTTTAGTTGTACTAAAAATTTTTTTCTTTTCAAAGAAGTTGAACCGTTATTTCAGAATTATGCGCATGTAATGTAAGAAATGACGTAATGCATCTTGATTGGGTAAATAAGCCAATGTTAAAATGTGAATCGGTCTCTATTCCGGGCACAATTTACATTTGTTTGAGAAAGTGACTAGATAGTTGTGTATCAATTAGTTTTAGGTAGATATATAAGGCAATATATAGTGTAATTGTACATTTCTTCAATTGAACATCTTCTAGTTGAATACAATCATTTATTGAAATAGAGTGATATCTATTGTTGAAGTGTACAACATCTTATCTTGTTCAAGAAACCTATAAAAGGGTATCGACAGTGTAATCGGACTATATAACTGACGAAAAAACTTATGTTTTTTTATAAAAAATCATTATGGATCAATTTTGCGGTACTAAGTTTTGGGTAAGAATTCATTTAATTCCTATTTGTATTTTCGATATGTTTTTGTTTTATTTTTATCGTAAGATTTGTTAAAGTAAAATATATAGATTATATTATTTGAACGTATATTTAATACAAAAGAATAAAGATTTTAAAATACATTATTTATATTAGTTTTAGCGAAACGTTTTAGCCTAATCGTGTATTTAAATTGAAAATGGAAATATAATCTATATGTGCTTGATGTAAATACTGCAATAATTTATGTTTTTACATTTTAGAACAATAGCTTAACGTGGGATACAGATGATCCAGACATTACAGAATGTTTTCAGAAAACTGTGTTAGTATGGGTGCCATGTGCATTTCTGTGGCTATTTTCTGGAATAGAAATTTATTATTTTTTAAATAGTAAAAGCAAAAATATTCCATACACATGGTTATTTATTTCGAAACAAATACTCATAGTAGCATTGATTGTACTTAATATTGTTGACTTAGGAAGAGCTATACATAGAAGTACTTATGAGAAAGTTTATAATGTTGATTATTGTACACCAGTTATAAAAATTATTACGTTTGTGAGTATTATTTATACATTATGAAAATAGTTATAAAAGATGAATATATACTAGTAATATCATTTTCTTAATCTCTTTGTAGATTAAAGCAGGTACTTTAGTAATATATAATAAAAAATATGGAATGCGAACTTCTGGACTATTATTTTTATTTTGGTTTCTTTTTGCCTTATGTGGAGCTGTTCAATATAGAAGTTTATTAAGGTTATATATAAATAATGTATGTAACGACAAATTCAGTACATAATTAGTAAGTTGAAAGTAAATATTTATTAATTTATTAATGTTTTTCACATCTTTTCTCAGAGTGAAGTTACTTATTCATTTGTATCATATATGATACATTATCCAATAGTGATACTTTTATTGTTATTGAACTTCTTAGTTGATGCAGAACCTAAATATTCAAAATATCCAAAGGTAATTAAATATGTATTATTTTCTTTCAATATCATGTTAGTGAATAGTAAGATAAACAATTCAATGTTTTATATTGTATTTGCAGGTTGAAAAGCCATGTCCAGAACAAAGATCTTCCTTTCCAGCAAAAATTTTTTTTACTTGGTTTGATTCAATGGCATGGAAAGGTTTTAAGACACCTCTAGAAACTACAGATTTATGGTCAATAAATCCAGAAGATACAGCTAAAGAAATTGTACCTACATTTGATAAATATTGGAATAAAAGTTCATCAAAAAATAACAAGTGAGTGTGATATTTATGAATATTTAATATTAGAAAATAAGAACAAAATTCTAGAGTTAATAAAATTAAATAAATCATATTATATATTACATTAGTAATAAGATATCAATTTATTTTTGCTAACAAGAGTATTTTGGACTTACTTTAGGTAAGTTAATTAAATCGTTCATGTAATTGAAGATATAAATATAAGCTTAATTTTTATTTATGTTTAGTGTACAAAATACTAAAGCATCATTCAGAAAATCATCTGGACAAGTAGATTTTAATAACGAATATAAAAAAAAAACATTATCAGTTTTACCTCCTCTTTGTAAAGCTTTTGGTGCCACATTTTTATTTGGAGCTGCACTTAAGTTTGTGCAAGATATTATAACTTTTGCTAGTCCCCAAATATTGAAGTAAGTAAATTATAATGTTTCTTATTTTAAAAATTATTTAGCCATTACTATCATAGTTAAAAATTGTAATGATAGTGAAAAATTCTAATAAAAAATTTTTAATATAGGTTGCTTATCGATTTTATTGATGGACATCAATCGCTATGGAAAGGCTATTTTTATGCGGTTTTACTTTTACTTACAGCCGTATTTCAAACATTGGTTTTATCACAGTATTTTCATCGTATGTTCTTAGTTGGTTTACGAATACGAACTGCTTTAATTGCAGCAATTTATCGGAAAGCATTGAGAATATCTAATTCCGCTAGAAAAGAATCAACAGTTGGTGAAATAGTAAATTTAATGTCTGTAGATGCACAAAGATTTATGGATTTAACGGCATATATAAATATGATTTGGTCTGCACCATTGCAAATAATCTTAGCATTATATTTTTTATGGGATATTTTGGGACCAGCTGTGCTTGCTGGATTAGCTGTTCTACTTATTCTCATTCCAATAAATGTTTTAATCACTAATAGAGTTAAGACATTACAAATTAGACAAATGAAACATAAAGATGAAAGAGTTAAATTAATGAATGAAGTACTTAATGGTATAAAAGTATTGAAACTATATGCATGGGAACCTTCATTTGAGGAACAAATATTGAAAATACGTACAAAAGAAATTAAAGTACTTAAAGAAACAGCGTATCTCAATTCTGGAACAAGTTTTATCTGGTCTTTTGCACCTTTTTTAGTAAGTTCTTTAAATTAAATTATGTTGTTAAAGATGATGGTGATTTTTATTTTTGTTTATTTTCCATTTTGTTTTTTCATTTATTTTTTTCTTTTTTTTACAAATAGGTATCACTGGTGTCCTTCGCAACTTATGTACTTATAGATGAAAATAATTGTTTAACTAGCAAAGTTGCTTTTGTTTCACTCAGTCTTTTTAATATCTTAAGGTTTCCCCTTTCTATATTACCTATGATGATTGGTAACATGATTCAGGTAAATAGAAATTTCTTATATTAAATTACAGTGCATACAATTACAATTTTTCTTTTTTAATATAATATGTAATATATAGGCTTATGTTTCTGTAAAACGTATTAATAAATTCATGAATACAGAAGAGTTAGATCCAAATAATGTTCAACATGATCCATCTGAATGTAAGTTTCTGATAATTTTTATATATTTGTGAATATTACATACCAAATACATTATATACATTAATGTAATGTAGCATACACATTATTAATCGAGAACGGCACTTTCGCGTGGGATTTGGAAAATATCGAAAGACCAACATTAAGAAATATTAATCTTCATGTAGAACAGGGTCAATTAATAGCTGTTGTTGGTACTGTAGGATCTGGGAAAAGTTCTCTTCTATCAGCTCTTCTTGGAGAAATGGATAAAATAAGTGGTAGAGTTAATACAAAAGTAAGTAATTTGTTATGTAATAAACAAATATGAAAGTTCCTTTTGTGTTATTGTTTGTTTGTTTTATAGGGTTCTATAGCATATGTATCTCAACAAGCATGGATTCAAAACGCCTCGTTACAAGATAATGTTTTATTTGGAAAGTCAATGCATAAAAGTATATATAATCGTGTGATTGAGTCATGTGCATTAAATCCAGATTTAAAAGTATTGCCTGCGGGTGATCAAACCGAAATTGGAGAAAAAGGAATAAATTTATCTGGTGGGCAAAAACAAAGAGTATCCTTGGCAAGAGCAGTATACAATGATTCTGATATTTATTTTTTGGATGATCCATTGAGTGCAGTAGACTCACATGTTGGAAAACATATATTTGAAAACGTAATTGGTCCTAGCGGTCTGCTTAAGAAGAAAACTCGAATACTCGTTACACATGGTATTACTTATTTACCGGAAGTTGATAACATTATTGTTCTCAAAGATGGTGAAATAACAGAAGTTGGAAGTTATAAACAACTTCTAGAGAAAAGGGGAGCCTTTTCTGAATTTTTAGTGCAACATCTTCAGGAAGGTATATATCACTTTTTTCAATTGTCTTAGTTTTTTCTATTCAAATTTTATATTAATTTTTTATTATATTTTTTATGAATCTAAGTTGGAAATCGTAAGTCAGTGAAAAAAGTAATTACGATTCCTTTTTCTACTTCAATTTATGTGATTGTCCAGAAAATGGTTTATATTGCATTTGGCTTGTGATATTAGAGTATCAAGGATGTTAGTATTTTTTGCAATTTGCTAATATAACTTATCAGCCAGCTTGTAGCATAAAGTAATATTCAATGCAATTTCGTTTTTTAGTACTTTCAAAATTTCTTCTTTATTCAAAAGAGAAAGATGTGCATGTAAGATTTTTCTTTATAATGCATGTTAAATTTGAGTTAAATTAAAATGACTAGTATTATAATTCCTTTTGTAATTTATTAATTTATTTCTGAACTTTTGAAGTTAACAGCCCTGAATACACTTAAAATTTCGTTATTTTAATGAAAGAGTGTATCCTATTATTATTTTTTAGTTTCTTATTCTTTAATATGTTATATTATTTTGTATTTTTTTATGACAAATTTGAAATAGTACACGCTGATGGGGAATCAGAAGCAGATCTACATGAAATTAAACAACACTTGGAATCTACAATAGGATCGAATGAACTGCAACAGAAATTGACAAGAGGTAGATCAAGACTGTCAGAAAGCCAAAGTGAGTCTAGTTCGATAGCTGATAGAAGATCTCTAAATGGTTCGTTAAAAAGGTAAAATTATAATATATTATTATATTTATATAAAGTATATTCAATATTATTTATGTTATGCAGAATGTAATATTTTTTATTAATTTTTCAGACAGTATTCCACAAGTAGTCAACAATCTGGCACTTACGAAAGTAGCAATAACATGAAAGAAACGAAATTATTACCTCCAAAACTAGGAGAAAAATTAATAGAAGTGGAAAAAACTGAGACTGGAAGTGTAAGTTACTGTTTCTCTTATTTAATAAAATTATTGAAAAAAATATGATTTTATGTATTATTTTTGCCATCAAGGTTAAATGGCGAATTTATTCTCACTACTTCAAATCCATTGGTTGGTTTTTATCGATATTGACTATTATAATGAACGCTGTTTTTCAAGGATTTAGTATTGGTTCAAATGCTTGGCTCAGCGTATGGTCAAACAGTAATAATAATACAGTTAATCAAGTTGAACAAAATATGTATCTTGGAGTTTATGCTGGACTTGGTCTTGGTCAAGGTATGTTTTTAAAAATTTACAATTCTTCATTTATCAATGTATGTTAGAACTAGAATTTTACAAAAAACAATCGTATAAGGTAAGCCTATCTTTCTTAAATATATATCTAAAATACAGTGACTGTTTTCTTTATTATAAATTGAATATTGCTTGAAAGGCATGTTCCTTTACAGATTACACAGTTTTGGGGCAATTAATTTTAATTTTAAATTATGATAATAAAAAGATGTGCTCGTACAAATATGTGACTAACTGTTTGTGTATTAACATTATAAAATCATTGTTTTTCTAAACATTTTATTTGAAATTACGTATTAATTAAAACTAAAATACTAACGAAATCTCACTGGTGTTAAAATGTTAAAATGTTAGTGCGAGTGAGGTTTGCTGTGTTAATAGAATATTTATAAATAAAATAAAGCTTTGTAGAGAGATATATGTTAAATGCAATTATTTTAATTACGTTATTGTTCAAAATTAATTTTTATTTCGCATGTACTTATTTATTTTATTCACTCATTAATTCACATGTATGTATAAGCTCATGCAATATTTATGTATAATATTTGAGCATGAAGTAGATCAATAACAAAGCTTTTTATTATCTACACATTATTAAAATATATAGACTTCTATATTTTATATTTTTAAATTTTCATATAACCGAATTATTATTGAAAATGCAAGTATATTTATTTTTTGTATACAAATAAGTATATATCTTTATATTTTGATGTAGTCAAATTGAATCATTAATAATATTAATATGCTATATCATTTTCTCATACTAATACTAATAATACAATAATTAATCACAAATTTATTTTATCCATTTGCATAAAAAAAAAAAGATTTATCCAGTGTTATTTCTTGTATTATAATGTATCATAACTCCTTATCATACTCTAATACTGCATTATTTTAGGAAATATAATAATATAATCATATTTTATTATCAATTATTTTATTATGTCTATTAACATTAATACAATAAGTAAATGTTGAATCAGTTGGTTAAAAAGGATATAGAAATTCAAAAATTGATATGTAAAGTTTAGAATATAATAAGAATTTGTTTAAAGAAATAACTAGCAGTTCAAAAATAATAATAATAACAAAATGCACGTTCATCAATTAATCTATATTATCTAATTAATTTTGTTAGGAAAAATAAATTTACATCTTCTATATTAGGATTTATTCATATTCTGTTAATAATACACTATAATAATCAGTATTCTTTAATTATAAATGCACCTCAATACATGTGTGACTGCAGAAAGGAACTTGCACATGGTACAATATTAGGCAGATGGTGAGCAATAACAAAAAATCAATATTATTGCTAACAAAAATTAATTTTTATTTTCATTTATAATGTATGTGAAATGCAAATATTGCAAGAACTGATGCAGTCCCTGATATATAATTGTCGGGTTTAATGATATACCAAAGTTCTCACCAATCATTGTAGGCGTGACAGTGCTTGGAGGAGCGTTAATCTTGGCAAAAGGATCAATACGCGCTTCCGTGCATCTCTTCGAGAGTACGTTGCAACATGTTCTCCGGAACCCAATGTCATTCTTTGACAAAACTCCAACCGGTCGAATTCTTAATCGACTCTCTAAAGACACTGATGTCATTGATAATACGCTGCCATCCATACTGCGTTCTTGGATTGCTTGCCTCTTTGGGGTATGATATTTTCAAATTGTAAATACTGTGCTTAACAAATTCTAAATTTCATAAAAGATTATAAATTAAGTTTATATCCACTTACGCAGTGGCTTTATTGAATAATAATTCTAATTATTTATATATTTATGTAATATATGTAATATATGTAATATATATATATATATATTTATTTTGTAAATTTGCAACTAAAAGATATAAGTTTTTTAAATTAAAAAGGATTGTAAAAATAAAATATAAATATTTGCATGCTTATACAAGTTAAGAAGTTTCGTGCGCCAATTAATTGGAAAAAAAATATTTCAATTTATTAATGTTATTATAATAATTAATCAATAGTTATTTTACTCATGAAAATATATTAACTTAATGGACAAATATTAGTTAAAATATTTTAAATTTTATTTATAATTCACATATTTTTTTAATGTAAAATTTAGTAGAGTTTATTTTTATATATGAAGATAGATAAAATCTTATGATTCATGACCATATTTTCCTTAATATAAAATAGGTTGTGTTGTGACTGTATTTTATTAATATTTATATGTAGTATATTATTTATTGAAGTGTTTATATATATTTTATTCTATTGAATAAATTTGATTATGTTAATTTATTAATGTTACGATCTTATAAAAATTTTAATTAACAATATAAATTTCAGTATTAATAGTTATTACAGTCATTAGTAGATACAGTCATTAACAATCTATGATATAAAAAATTACAGAGTAATAATAACATCATTAGTAAGGTAATGGACACAATTATACAATCAATGTTTTTATAAAAAAGTAATATTGCTTATGCTTTAAAGTTGTATGTTTCAAATATGGAAACCGTTGTATGCTTAATTTGCTTGTGTATTGTTTCATTATTTGTGCCTGGCATGCTTTTCCACAGCAAACTTCACCCCCTCGCATAACATGAGACAGAATAGTATTTTTAATTTTTTCATATTATAAACTTATAGTTGTTAAAAAATATAGAAGGAATAAACTTCTATTTGTTTATGCATATTAGAAGTGAATAGCGCTTCATATTATATGATAAATATTTCGAATAAAAATTCACAGTAGTAATGAAAAATTCGTAACGAAAAATATTAAATGAAAAATGATGTACAGAATGTCTTAGATTTTTTAAATTTTGGCTATATTTGTACCATTTAGAATTTTCTTAAAATGGTTACAATGAAAGCAAATCATGTCTGATGTTGTAGCGATGGCGAGTTTTTTCTGCGATTTGGCACCGCAGCTGGGTTGCTGGCTAGCTGCTCGCCAGATGCACATTATGATGCTGCGTGCTGTGATGCGTGCTCCATTGACCTTCTTTGATACGACTCCTACTGGTCGTATTATCTCCAGGTTTGCTAAAGACGTCGATGTACTGGACACATCTCTTCCTCAACAAATTTCAGATAGCATCTATTGTTTGTTTGAGGTAATTTTTGAAAATACCTGAACCAAATTAAGGTGACTGTTATTATTTCCTTTCTATAATTCATTCATAATTCATTAAATGCTCAAATATCTCTATTTCATGAAAGGGTTGGTATTTCCTGTATAAATACATCTTAATCATTTATTCATTCTGTAATTTTATATCAAACGATGTGTTGCAGTTACGTTATTTTAATAATAATTCAATAAATACTAAATAGTTCATAAAGATATGTAATTCTAAATAATGTGGTGTACAAATATTGTATAATTGTAAAGTATAATTGTGTCCGTTCCAATAAATTTATTGTGTTAAAATTAGTGAATATGAAAAAAGTATGCCTGTAACAAATAGTAGAAAATGCTGGTGCAAATGTTCATTAATTGAAACGAATATGATTTTATTTTGTATTAATATGGGTGCTTCATCTAAGAATTTGCATGATCATTAATTCATAAATTCTTTGTTTTAAAGTTGAATTATTCTATGGTTGTATACGCGTGTGATTGTTTATATGTATTTATTATATGTATAATTGTTTGTTTTTGTATTTTCATGCTTTTAATTTTTTGAATGGAAACTGAATTTATACTAAATAGATATTTAAATAAAACTGACTGGATCTTTACATTACAGGTCATAGCCACTTTAGTGGTTATAAGCGTTAGTACACCAGAATTTGTAGCAGTTATAGTACCAATAAGTGTAATTTATTACTTTGTTCAACGTTTCTATGTTGCATCTTCAAGACAGTTGAAACGTTTAGAATCTGTTTCGAGATCTCCTATATATTCACATTTCAGTGAAACAGTTTCTGGTATATAAAATATTCATTTTATTATTATAATTTATATATTAATTAAATAAAAATAGTTAATTATATATAGTTAATATCTACATATTTAATTTATTAGGAGCACAAATGATTAGAGCATTTGGAGTGCAAGACCGATTTATTGAAGAATCTGAAAGTAAAGTAGATTTCAATCAAATGTGCTATTACCCTAGTATAATTGCAAACAGGTATTGCATTTTTCCTCAAAATCTTAAAAATTCAAATTAATATTGAAATTAAGATAATTATATGAAATGTGATTCATTGTTTTTTATTACAGGTGGTTGGCAGTACGTTTAGAAATGGTAGGAAATTTAATTATTTTCTTTGCTGCATTATTTGCTGTATTAAGTAGAGACACTATAAAATCTGGTGTTGTTGGTCTTTCTGTCAGTTATGCTTTACAAGTAAGTTATAAATAAAATATTAGATACAAGATATATTATAAATAATACACACTATATATAAATACCAAGTAATATCTAAATATTGATTAATTTGATTTTAAAATAAATTTTCATAAAAATTCTTTTAGATTACGCAAACACTGAATTGGTTAGTACGAATGACTTCTGACGTTGAAACTAACATAGTAGCTGTAGAAAGAATAAAAGAATATGGAGAAACTCCTCAAGAGGCAGCATGGAAAAATCCAAATTATACACCATCTAAAGAGTGGCCTGTACAGGGGCGAGTAGAATTTAAAGATTACAAAGTTCGTTATAGAGAAGGTTTAGACTTTGTTCTTCGTGGGTTATCGTTTTCTGTTAATGGAGGAGAAAAAATTGGCATCGTCGGTAGAACTGGTGCTGGAAAATCATCTTTAACATTAGCTTTATTTAGAATAATAGAAGCAGCCGATGGAAAAATCATTATCGATGACATTGATATTGCTAAATTGGGACTTCACGATCTAAGATCTAGATTAACTATTATTCCTCAAGATCCTGTATTATTCTCAGGAAGTTTAAGAATAAATTTAGATCCTTTTAATTCTTATTCTGACGATGAAGTTTGGAGAGCTTTGGAACATGCACATCTTAAATCCTTTATAAAAAGTGAATATCATTTTATTGATAAAATAAAAAATTTTGTTGAAAGTGTAGAGAAATTACATAAAAAATTTAATATTTTTTACATTTTAGCTTTGCCAAATGGTCTTTTATATGAATTATCAGAAGGCGGAGAAAATTTAAGTATAGGTCAACGACAATTAATATGTTTAGCAAGAGCATTGCTTCGAAAAACAAAAGTATTAATTCTCGATGAAGCAACAGCTTCAGTTGATTTGGAAACTGATGATTTAATTCAAACAACAATTAGACAAGAGTTTAAAGATTGCACAATTCTTACAATAGCTCATAGACTTAATACAATTCTTGATTCAGACAGGTACGTTTTATAAAATAAAATTATTTTTAAGTAATGATTAATATTAAATGAAAAATCTTTAATAGGGTCATTGTCCTGGATAATGGACGCATTGTGGAATATGATTCTCCAGAGTCATTACTACATAATTCAACTAGTTTGTTCAATAGTATAGCTAAAGATGCAGGCCTTGTTACATAAATAAAATGCATATCGTAAATATAATACAAGCAGTGAAACAATGATAATTTTTAATCTATAAATATATACTAACAGAAGAAATATAGCAATTTGTTTATATAGAAAAAGGCGAAATATGCTTAGTCTTAAAAGAATCGAAAATTTTGTAGAGCAACATTTTTCAGTCAAATCTTACACCATTTTTAAATAATGTCAAGTATAGCCCATTTGTAAAATAGTACGGATGTCCGTTACTTAAAGTACTGCCATTTTAGCAATATACCTTGTGCTGAGCAGCAACAATTTTTAAATGTGTGTACATATATATATTGTTTTAATTTAGCTTTAGTAAGCTTGCATTGCAAGCTTACACAACATTTAATTTTACACAATTTAAATAATGTACAAAATACAACAGTATTGTTCAGTTATTTTCATTAAAATTTATTATACTCGCATTATACTACTTTTGTTTTACATCACAAGAATTAAATATAAACATGTAGCATTATTTACGTTTACTGTTGATTCGTCCTTGTTATTACTTAACTCTGTACTGTTCGACGAATATGATGCATCTCCAAGCTGTGTAAATAGTATCCTCTAATATTTATGAATTGAAAAGAAAATAAAAGATTACAATTTTATATAATAAATGAAGATTTTGTATTTATTGTTTAATATTAATTCTTCAAATATTATAAATTGTTTACATTATATATGTATATATATATTGTATACCAACTGAATAGATAATAGATTTCACTAATGCAATGCAATGCGAAACAATATAGTAAAGAATAATTAAATTTTGTTTGTAATTTGTCGTACTTTATAAATATTTAAAACATTGTACTCGATAAAAATTGTATTTTAAATGTTATATTTCATTATTTTTAACTACTTTTAATAATTTTAATAATTATTTCAAATAAATACTTATCTGAATACAATTGGTATAGCATTAAATAAAATATCATAAGAAAATTCATATATATATATATATTCATACATACATACGTGTGTTGTGTGTGTTAATTTGTACTTTAAATTGTCTTTAAATCTATGTTACGTTGTATATTAATTTTCATAGCACATTTGTAAAACAATTCGTTACTTAATTCAGAAGTATTATTATTTTATCTTCTGATTACATAAACTCAAATATTTTAATAAAATAATTCAATTCATAATTCAATTTAGTAATACCATAATTGAAAATAAATACCAATATTTATTTTCAAAAATCAATTAAAATAATATATCAGTAAATCGAAATCAGTAAATTGTATAAAAATGAAATAACTTTTATTTGTTTTTTCCCTTTTATTAATTTTCTTCATAAATATAATATTTATTGCCGGTAATTATGACAAAATGAAATGTTCGTTGACCACACTGATTTATTAGAAACAATAATTATAATTTTGTCTAAGATTCGTCTAACAATTTTTAACATATTCATCATATAAATGTGTTTAGAATTCGCTATTTTTTGTAAAACTGTTTGACAAAACTTAATACATACATAGGTAACAGCAAACAAAATATTTGATGCCAGACTTGATGCCAAACTATGATGTATATGTACAAAATATATTTTTTATTTAAATTATTCAAAATATGCAATCTGTAATCCAGATTATTTCATGTATATGTATGTGTAGATATATGTATAAACAATTTATAGTTAAAAACATTTTTAAATATTTAAATAAATTTCATATTTGTTTGATTTGATATAGAATGATAACGATTGTTACAAAAGATTGAACGAAACAAAAATACAAGTTTAAATCATGATAACAATTGTTTGTTAAAAAGAGCACATATTCATATCATTTTTTACAACTGTATTAAATTTTTTCTGATATTTTGCCAACTGCAATAAACAATGATATTCTTATTGAAGTACATCAATGTCTTTGCGAGGCTTTTCAATTGGCTAGATCTTAAAACCAAAAGAATATATACATACACACGTAGTTATATCAAAGTCACAAAGGCATTAATGCATACAGATATATCCTTTGGTACTAATAAATTTATTAATTTAAGATAAAGTTTGAATAATATATTTAATGCTAACATTATGTACCAGACATTACTCATTCTTTTTATTTATTTCATTTTTTGGACGATTTTTGATAGATTCTTGTTTTTTACCTTTAGTTTTTTTAGCTTCCATTTCGCCAGAGAAACCAAATTCATTTACTCTTGTATGATCAGTTTTGTATATCCATCTTTGGTATAAAAATATAAAGAAAATAATATCATCGCGGAAGCAACCAATTCTATATAGTGTTGGCATTTTTATAACAAATGCAAAAATATCATCAATAAACGTATTTAAAAATTTGTAAGACATCATACGCCACGGAAGATGTGCCACACTTTTTAATTTATAATTAATAAATAGTTGTGGTGTCATCATAATAAATCCAAACGTTAATAAAAATCCATAAAGCATACTAAGAACCCAAGAGTACCATCCTTTATGTTCTAAATACATCAACGAATAAATTGCATATCCTCCTAAAAGAGGATAAAGTGTCCATGATAAATACTTAAAAGCAAGTCTATCATATTCTTTTGTGGAAGATTCTACATATGATCCTTTATCATGGAAACTTATTTTTGGGAAGATACCAAGTATTTTTAAATTTCTATCAACAGTAATATTCACGACCTTATTGATTTTCCATACTTCTATGCATAAACCTATTGCACAACTAATCCGAACTACTGTGTTTGTTTCATTATCAAGAACATACAATAAAACAATCAATGACTGAAAAACATTGAAAAATACAGATCGAACTGACAGTCCTTCCAATGAATTACGGTTATTCCAGAATTGTATATCTGAAAAAAATATGTAATAAAGCATTTCAAGATTATAATATAATTAGCTATTTGCAAATAACAAATTATTTATCTTATACTTTACCATTTTTAAATGCTAAAAATTCAAATACACTGTGTAATACTGATACAATTATAGTCAGACCTAAGAGGTAAGGATTAGTTTCCAATAATGCTTCTTTCAAAGTATCTTGATCATTATCATCTTCATCTATTGAATCTCCTATATAAAAATATTGTTAAAAAATTATATTTGTATAACGATTGATATTATTGATAAAATAACATACCCATAAGTGATGATGTCCATTTATTTTTCATTGTTTGAGCTGCATAAATCTGCCACTTAAATAATGAAAGCGGCTGATAAATTAATTTAAGTTCAAGCTCTTTTATAGTATCATTTAATGGTTGATAGTCTCTTTGCATATTCCAAAAATCATTCATATATATTACGGGCTTATAGAATTTCTCACCAGGTAGAAAGTGGATATCTATTAAAAAATAATATATATTTTAATTATATACATATAAAAATTTAAAAGTATTCAGCAGAAACTCACATGTATCTAAAGGTGAAGCTACTTGACCATACACCCAATTAGTATGATCTGTTACTAAATTAATAGTTAAATTTGGATGCCAATGTGATAAATATTCTTGATTCATTAATTCAGCTTTCTACAATGAATATTTATGTTCATATATGTATAAAACGAATTACAATATGTACACACCTCAATTTCTTCTTTAGTTGCAGTAGTTTCACCAGTTAAGAGATTGTGTTTTTTCTGATATCTAACTTTTTTGAATTTATTTAACATTTTTCTAGTGTATGACATATAATCTCCTGCGTAATTATTTTTTCCAACTTTGGGATTTGGAGACTTTCCACTTTTAGCAACATATACATGAAGGTATATGGATCCATTATTTTTTAATTGATCCGATGGAACAAATTTATAATTTTTAATCTTTGATCCATCTTTAAATGGTCCACTGTACCAATCTCCATATATTAATCCTTGTTCTAACCATACTAAAGTTCTTGGATCATCAAATTGCCTAAAATCCTCTGATTCTGATAAATAAACATGCATATCAAATAATGTCCCATTCTCAAATATATTTACAGCTTGCGAATGTGCTGGATTTATAACACCAGGAAATTGGGAATTGTTAATTTGAAGTCGTCTGAATAGATGACTGATACAATAAATGATGAGAGCACGTATAATTAACGATTTTGTTATTGCAAAAAATGATTCTAGACGTGATGGTTGATATTTTTTCCTTTGTCTGTCAATTTCTGCGTTTACCTATGTATAAATAAAAGAAAACATAAATTTTTATGAAAGAGCTCCGACAAACTTTTGATGAAAAATTTGCAATATCATCTTCAGACAAAACAGGTTGTAGCGGCTATTTACATCACGTTTATTATACCACTAAACGTCATTTATATATCATTGATAAATTTGTCAATTTAATAAATTATAAATTACATTGAAATAAATATTTTTATGATGTTTCTAAGTGAAGGTAGCGTGGAAAAAGATAACGAAACTAAACTCGTTAATTTTGGTAAAGTTATCAATAAATATTTCTAGGAGATAAAATAAATTATAAAATAAGAAAATATATAAGACAACATATAATTAACACACATTTCTTCCCTCATTGTTCTCTGCAGAAATTAACTCTCCATTCTGTCGATTGTTATCCATATTTTTTTTAATGCTTAATTCCTTACGATCGTGATTATCATTTTCAGCACCCACCATTTTTGTGTTCAGATTGTTTCCCATGTAACTTCTTTGCATTTCCAGAGGGAGTTGCATGTACCGGATATCAATATATTTCATAGATCACGTGCTTCATGACACTGAACTTGAATTTTTCATATCTAATCAAAT